TGCCTTTACAATTTGAGGTACATTCCTTCTATTCCTAGTTTTCTTAGAGCTTTTATCATGAAGTGATGTTGATCTTGTCAAAGTCTTTTTATGCATCTATTGAGATGATCAATGGCTTTTGTCTTTGCTTCATTGATGTGCTGTATTACATTTATTGATTGTATGTTGAACCACCCTGCATCCTGGGATGAAGCCGACTTGGTCATGGTGTATGATCTTTCTGTGTGTTGTTGGATTCAGTTTGCCATTATTTATTAAGGATTTTTGCATCATATTCATTAAGGAAATTGGCCTGTAGTTCTCCTTTTGGAGGTGTCTTTGTCTGGTTTTGGATGAGAGTTAATTGGCTTCATAAAGTGAGTTAGGCAGTGTTCCTTCCCTTTCTATTTCATGGAACAGTTTAAGGAGGTTGGTATAGTTCTTCTAAATGTCTGATAGAATTCAGTAGAGAATCCATCAGGTCCTGGACTTTTCTTTTTTGGGAGACTCTTGATTGCTGCTTCAATTTCTTTTTGTGTTATAGATCTATCAGGTGATTAATATCTCTTGGTTCATTTTGGGTGGTTGTAAGTTTCTAGAAATCTGTCCATTTCTTCAAGATTTTCAAATTTATTAGAGTATAGGTCTCAAAGCAGTCTCTGATGATTCTGATTTCTGTGGTGTTTGTTGTTTCTCCCTTTTGCATTTCTGATTTTACTGATTTGGGTTTTTTCTCTCCTCATTTTAGTCAGGTTTGCCAGGGGTCTGTCAATCTTATTTATTTTTTCAAAGAACCAGCTTTTTTTTTCATTGATTCTTTGTATGTTTTTTGTTTTTTGTTTCTATTTCATTGATTTCAGCCCTTATTTTATTATTTTTCTCCTTCTGTTTTTTGGGATTTGCTTGTTCTTGTTTTCTAGGAGTTTGAGCTGTATATTAGGTCATTGATTTAGATCTTTCTGTCCTTTTAATATATGCACTCATGGCTATAAACTTTCCTCTTAGGACTGCTTTGCTGTGTCCCATAGGTTCTGGTAGGTCATATTTTTCATTTTCATTAAACTTCAGGAACTTTTAATTTCCTCTTTTATTTCATCAATGATCCCATTGATCATTGAGCAATGTGGTTCAGCTTCCAATTGTTTGCATGTTTTTTACTGCTGTTTTTGTTGTTGATTTCTAGCTTTAATGCATTGTGGTCAGATAGAATGCATGGGATTATTTCTATTTTCTTATATTTGCTGAGGCCCTAAGATATGATCAATTTTGGAGAAGGCTCCCTGGGCTGCTAAGAAGAATGTATATTGTGCAGAAGTTGGATGAACTACTCTATAGACATCAGCTAGGTCCATTTGATCTAGGGTATGACTTAGTTCTAGGATTTCTTTATTGATTTTTTGTTTGGATGACCTACCTATTGGTGATAGGGGGTATAAAGTCTCCCAATACCACTATATTGGAGTTTATATATGTTTTTAGGTCCTTCAGAGTATGTTTGTTGAAATTGGGTGCATTGATGTTGGGTGCATATAGGTTGATAATTGTTATCTCCTTTTGGTTTTATTTCCCCTTTTATTAGTTTGGAGTGTCCTTCTTTATCTTGTTTGATCAATGTAAGTTTTTAAGTCTACTTTGTCTGAGATAAGTATTGCTACTCTGCCTGTTTTCAGGAACCATTGGCTTGGTAAATCTTCTTCTAGCCTTTCACTCTCAGCCAGTGATTATTTCTGTCCATGAGGTGGGTCTCCTGTAGGCAGCAGACTGTTGGATCTTCCTTTTTAATCCAGTTTGCCAATCATTGTCTTTTGATGGGGGAATTAAGTCCTTAACATTCAGTGTTAGTATTGATAGGTACGTAGTGATCCCTGTCATGTAATTGTCTTTGTTGTCTTTGTTGTTTGATTGTGTGTAGCTGAATCAATGTTACTCTCTACTTTCTTGCCTTTTCTTCTCCTGTGGTTTGGTATTGCCTGCCCTTTCATGGTTTTTGTTTGCTTTCATTTTCTGTGTGCAGAATTCCTTGGAGAATCTTTTGTAGTGGTGGCTTGGTGGTCATATATTGTTTTAGTTTCTGCTTATCATGAAAGACTTTTATTGTTTCATCTATTTTGAATGATAGTTTTGCTGGGTAGAGTATCCTAGGATTGAAGTTATTTCATTCAGTTCCTGGGAGACCTCACTCCATGCTCTTCTTGCTCTTAAGGTTTTCGTCAAGAAATCTGCTGTGATTTTCATGGGTTTACCTTTGTATGTTATTTATTTTTTTTCTCTTACAGCCTTCACTATTCTTTCTCTACTCTCTGTACTTGTTGTTTTAATGATACTGTGCCGTGGGGTAGTTCTATTTTGGTCAGATCTGTTCAGTGTTCTGGAGGCTTCCTGTACCTGAGTGGGCATAATTTTCTCTAGATTTGGGAAATTTTCTGTTATTATTTTGTTGAATTCATTACACATTCCTTTTGCTTGCACCTCTTCTCCTTCTTCAATGCCCATGGTCTAAGATGGAGTTAGTGAGTTCTTGCATTTTCTTTTCACAGGTCTTGACTTGTTTAACTAATAGTTCTTCAGTTTTTCCTTTAACTGCCATTTCATCTTCAAGTTCTGAGATTCTGTCTTCTGTTTGATCTATTCTGCTGGAATGGCCTTCCATTTTGTTTTGTATTTCTTTTTTTGTTTTTCTTTTAGTCATATGTGCATACAATGTTTGAGTCATTTCTCCTCCCTTCCCCCGACCCCCTCCTTGCTTCCCCCACCCCCTTGTTTTCTATTTCTGTTTCATTCTTTTTCCATATCATGGGTTTGATATGGAAAAAGATGAGATTTTCCATATCATGGGTTACTTCCTCTTTAATATTGTCAATTTTTGCCCTTAATTCATTTATACTTCTGTTTATGGTGATCTCTGTTTCAGTTTGGTGTTTATTTAGGGCTCCTATGATTTCATTTATTTGTTTCTGTGTTTTCTCATATTCTTTATTTTTGTTGTCTTGGAGTTTCTTGAGTGTCTCCTGTACATTTTGGTTGACCATGTCTAGTAACATCTCTATGAAATTCTCATTAATTACCTGTAGAATTTCTTCTTTCAGAATATTCTTGTGGGCTTTGTTGGGTTCCTTGGTATAGTTTATCTTTGTTTTGTTTGAGTCTGGATGTGGGTATCCATTTTCTTCATTTCACTCTAAATCCTGTACTACTTTATTTTTGGAGGGAGAATTGGTTCCATCCCTTTTTCATCTATCCATATTTCCACTAGGTACTGTTTCTGTCCCTGGACTATGTGTAGTTTAGTATTAGCTGGGTTACAATATTAATACTAACAAAATCAGGAGAGAAGGAGAAAATAGAGAAAGAGAAGGAAAGATAAAACCAATAAAGAAGAGAAAAAAAAGTGAAAAAATGGGAGAGATGGTGGGTGATCAACAGCAAACCAGAAAGCCAAATCCTTGAAGAAGGGGGAAAAAAAACCCACCAGTTCTGGAACAGTGGAATTGCAGTCTTAGTCATTCTGATGTTACACCTTTAGCATCCAGTCCTGTCTGTCTGTGTCTCTTAGGCAAGTTTGGAACCCCCTGTGATGGCTTGAGTGAGAGCCTGGTGGAGCACTTATCTGGCAAGCCTGTAGAGCTGGGGCCTAGTGCGGCCTCAGGGACAGGTATCCTGGCAGGGAGGGGGATGCAGCTGTCTCTTCACAGAGCTGGTGCCCAGGAGGGCCTGAGGGGCAGGGATCCCA